TATATATATATTTAAAAATTATGTTATATAAAAAATTATGCAAAAATTAATTTGCTTTTTAAAAATAATTTTAAAAAACTGATATTTTCATTTTTTTATGCATCTTCCTCCTTAAACATGACAAAAATGAAACACATGATCCGATCCAATTAACTTTTAAATACTCGTTAATGTCGGAAAGTCATGATGAAAATCAGTAAACACTCGTACTCCTACAGATTTTAAATAAATTGCAGTTATTAATATAAATTATAACAATTATTTGCCCTATGCACGAAACATTTAATATTAGGTTTCACTATAACTCATCTTTCATTCGAGCTACTTATGAATAATTCTAAATGTATATATAGACGTTTTACACAAAATTTAATTGCACAAAGTGATATGATTCATATTGTAAAATCAAACTGTCGCAGGGATATATAATTACAGGTATATTATGAACGATAATCTTGTTTCGATTCTTTGCCAACGGTAGTGTTGCCAATTTTGACATAAATAACACTATTTCTGGTATGTGCTTCTCATGTTATATTGGTCATGAAATTTCTTCGATAAAACTCGATAACTTTCTCAGTAAACAAAAAGTCAAGGTTAAGAGATTATTAAAATCGCAAGCATTAACACATACATACATATATATACATATATATATATACATATGTATACATATACACACATATATATAATGTGTGTGTAACACACCACACACACACACACACATACACACACACACACACACAAATTGCATAAACCAGTAATAAATTATATAAATGTTTGGTAAAAAGTTATTAACAAAACACAATTTACAAAGAACAAAGAAAGTTAAAAAGATCTGCGGGTGTACGCGTTTCTTTCTGTAATTTTTTCTCCTCTAAGATTTCGACAAATGCTTTTTATAAATACACGGAAACGTGAATTTCACGAGGACAGAAATAATCGAGGGCATAAAATACATATTTGATGTGAAGAAAAACATTCGCTGAGTGAGCGAGTCGTAAGATTGGCGTTGTTTGTAAACTATATTGCTTTACCGGCGCGGCGCACGAACGAGCCTTTTCTATCGACACGATTACAATTGAATATTAAATTAAATTTATTGAAAATCTTATGTATTTATATTGTATTTATATTGTACTTATATACTGATTTAATTCCATGATTCTATCATAGATGAATCTGTTCATAGATGCAAAATTATAAATACACTGTCAAAAATATCATGAAATTTAATATTATTAAAACTTTACACAAGTTGAATTTCATAAAATTATATTACATATATATATTATATATATATATAAATTTAATTACATTACATCAAATTTAATGTATTTGTTAACTGAAAATATTTTTGTATATTTACATAAAATTTAAAGTATTTTCATAAATTTTTATGAATGTACTTTCCATAAAATGTGGATTTGCATGAAATGTAATACACATATTCATTATATTTAAGACTACTGTAAGTAGTCTTAAAGTGTTAGTTTTCGGTTAAATCATTCATTATTTTTCAGTACTTCATAACCAAAATTCTTTTACAATGTTATTTAGATTCATAACAAAATTATATAATAGTGTACGTAAAATAATAGGGTACGTAAAAAAAGTTTCCTGCTATGATTTATTACACATTATTCGTGCAAATTTTCATACATATTTTCATATGTATTTATCCAAAAGGTATGAAAATTTTTTATGCAATAATTACGATTATATTTTTATATATAAGAAATTTCTTTATATTTTTCTAATACTTGCTTTTCTATTTTGAAT